TATCCACTGAGCCAAACCGGCTAGGGCTACTTTAGGAACTTTTTAAAAAATAATCCTTTATTGTTGAAAGTATTACATATGTTTCCCCACCCCCACCCACCCCACCCCCAATTGACCAGGAACATTTTAGGAGGCACGATTGACCAACACTTGTGGCTGGTTGGATGAGGCATACAAGAGGAGCCGGGAATGTCTCACAGATGAGTTGATGTTGGAGAATTTACTGAAATAAAGCCTGAAGAGGAAGAGGAGGTCTGGGGAGGGTGACATATTGAATGTGAGGTCTGAGACAGTCGTGGCAGGATCTGGAGCCCAGGGGAGAGTGAAGCTCTGAGATTTGGAGCTGAAGCCTGGGGTGGAGAAGGTCACCCATGGGGGTGAGACCAGGTGAGAAGTGAGAGCAGGACAGAGGCTGGAGAAAGAGGCACAGTCAGAGAAGTAGAGGAAACCAGGCTGAAGAAGGTACTGGGGAGAGAAGAGGATGGATGAAGCAGAGTCTTAGGGAGGGTCCAGAGTAGGAAAGGGTGTGGGGCTGACTGGCTCCCACTATGTGCCCCTTGCATGGGCTTGATCACTCACTCGGCAGCCACTTTCTGTCCCTTGGCTAGATGGTGCTGATCAAGGGACGGGCACTCGTGGACAGGATATACTTGACCCACATTTTGTAGGATCTACAAAAACCACAAGAGCTCTCAGAATGTGACAGTGAGGGCAGAAAGTGCTTGGAGCCCTTTTCCTCCCCTCAGCCCTCCTGTGGCCATCCACACTCCTCCAGAGAGCCCTCCATAATTGCACTAAATGGTGCCCTTCCCGTGCCCCCAAGGCACAGTTCCATAACACCATCTTCCTATGGACACACCAACCTGCTACTGGGTCGGTCATCACATGTCTGCTTTTGTTGATTTGTATCATATATAACACTGTCCCGGGCAGGTGGTGAGCTCAGGAAAAGGACCCACAACTTGTCAGAGCCTGTGCTTCTAGGAACACTCAGCAAAATGTGGGTGTGAGTGTGTGTGTGCGTGCATGCCATTGTATATCCTCGTCATCCTTCCCAGTTCATCTCAGACCCACTCCCTCAGTCCCCTCCCTAATAGCTCTTCACCTGGTTCACTCTACCAGGAATCCCTCTAACCCTCTTCATCTGTCCAAATCCTCCTTATCCTTCAAGGCCTGCCTCAAGGCTGCCTCCTCTAAGAAATTTTTCTCCCCACTCTACCATCACCACCACTCTCTGTCCTTCATTCTCTACCAACCTCTTTCATTGGTTTGCCTTTAATGAGATACAGCCTTGTCTTGCTGGCCAGTGGTTTAGGCATTTAATCCTAATTCATTTGTCAGCCCTATAGCATGCTCAGCAGGCAGGGTACACAGCCTAGGTACAAGAAAATACTGGTTGGTGCATGTTCTGGTGTGTGTGTGTGTGTGTGTGTGTGTGTGCATATTTATGGTCTGTGGATCCTGGGGGGTCTACAATGTGACTGAATGCATATATGTTGTGTAACCATTCATTTAGTCAAATGACATTTATTGTGCTTATGGGTGTGCAGCTTGTGCGTGTGAACCCTGTTAGTGTGCTATGTATATTGTGAAGGCATTTGGGGCATCACTGTGATGTGTATATTTAGTATGCCTGGGCACGCACATATGAATCGTTGATATTGTGGGTTGTGTCTGTGCAAAAACATAATCATAAGAGTAAGAGACAAATTTGGGTCCTTCCTCCGCCACTTACTTCGACCTGATTTCAAGCAAGTCATCAAATTCTTTGGGTCTGAGCTTCCATGTTTATAAAATAGGAAAGATTAACACTCATGGTCCTAGGATTGTCTGCCTACTAGAGGTCTATCTTGTAGGATGTGAAGATGAAGGGGAGACATAACTGGTGGGAAGTGCCCAGCACAGTGGCAAATAACATTAACTGAGGGTTCCATTTCCCTGTGTGTGTGCATCTGTGCATGTGCATGCGTGTGTGTGTGTGTGCGTGTGTGTGCGTGTGTGCGTGTGTGTGTGTGCGTGTGTGTGTGTGTGCGTGTATGCCTGCGTATGTGTGCGTGTATGCCTGCGTATGTGTGCATGTGTGCGTACGCGTGCTTGCTTGCTTGCATAAAATAGTGCTCTTCCTATTGTCCCAGAGTGGCTAAAGCCCACAGCTGGAAACAAAAAGCATCAGGTGCTCCCACATCCTTTAGAAAGACTCCAACCAGCCAGCAGACATGTCCTCTCAGAGAGAGCCTTGAGAAATGGCACAGCTGGCCCTACTGTGACTCAGACGTTCCACCAAACATGTGCGCGCGCGCGTGTGTGTGTGTGTGTGTGTAAGCAAGAATCCTGAGCGCAGGGGGTGTCTAACCTGGGCTTCTAGGCATCCTTTCCTCCCCTGCAGCCTATGCCTGAGCGTCTACCCCAGAGTCTGGAACCTGACCAAATCTAGTCTCAGCAGGTGTAGGAGGGACATGTCCCTGCTGGGAGCAAGACTAGGACTCAAAGCGGCTTCGGAGCAGCTTGAACTTGGACTTGTTGAACTTAGTGATGAGGTCCAGTTTGCTGTGGCCCAGGGTCAGCCGCTTCTCATCCCCAAATGGGCCACTGCTACTGCCATTGCAATGGTCACCTGTGGGTCTCCCCGGGAGGCCATGCTCAGGTCCCTGCCTGGCACCCTGCAACTGATGGTACTTGGTGATGAGGTCCAGCTTGCTGTGGCCCAGAGTCAGCCGCTTCTCATCCGCAGAGCCCACTCCAGGCTTGCGAGCATGGCTCGGTCTAGGGAGACTATTGGGCCCCGGCCCCTCACCCCGGAATGGGCCAAACTTTGTGATGAGGTCCAGCTGGCTGTGGCCCAGGGTCTGCCGTCGCTCATCTGGACCCTGCTTGCCAGCCCTGGCTGAGGAGTTGGCTTCAGGGGGCCCTCTGGAGCCCCCAGTCTTAGGGTACTGTGGCAGGAGGTCCAATTGGCCATGGCTGTGGTTTGGAGGCAGCCTCTTATGCTCTGGGTTCCCATGGCCAGGTCTGGGGGAACCTGACTCAGGGGCACCCCCAGCACCTTGGGCCTGGGGCAGGAGATCCAGCTGGTTGTATTTCTGGTTTGGGGATAACCTCCTGTCCTTTTGGGCCTGCTCACCAGGCCACAGGGAGTCTGAGTTGGAGGTAACACGAGGATCAGGGCCTCTTGCTTCTCGAGCTCTGGGAAAGGGGATAAGGAGATCCAGTTGGCCATGGCTCTGACTCAGAGACACCTTCTTCTCCTCCACTGTCTCCAGGGCTGTGCCAGGTCCCCAGCGACCTCGTGGGGGGCAAGGCTCCTGGCTGCCTGGGAGCCCGTTCTCTGGCAGCCTAGATAGGGCTGGGACACCCCGGGAGAAGGGGAGGAGGGAGCGTGGGCGAGTAAGCAGAGGTGACCCCACTGCCAGGGTCAAGGGGCTGGTGCTACTGTGGTTGAGGGCAGGGGAGGACTGGGACCACAGGGACGCCCCCATCTTGCCCAGGTTGGCCCTGTAGGGCCCTGGCGGTGAGCCATGGTTAGGATCTGACAGCTGGCGTTGGAGGGAGGGCTGGCCACTGGCTTTGCGACAAGTAGGGCCTGGGGATGAGGACCCCATTCCTGTGTCACTGCAGCCACCGCCTCCTGGTAGAGCAAGGTAGGAGGAGCGGCCCATGAGAGGGGAGTGCTTGATGCTGCTGAGGCTGGTGCTGGAGGGCGATGAGGACCTGCGGCTTGGGATGCTGGGCCCGAAGGCCAGGGCCGCCAGAGGAGGGCACGGTGCCCTGGGATCCTCGCCGCTGCAGAAGCCCTCCACAGGCCGTGACTCGGCATACAGACAGCGGAACTCCCGGTCAAAGTCTTCCACGATGCGGCCCCGCAGCTGCAGCACCATGCTGGTGTGGGCCTGGCTGCAAAGCCAGGTGAAGCTGGAGGCAGAGTGTCAGGGTCAGGAAGCAAAGTGCAGAACCCTGGGCCTAGGCAGGAGTCACAGCAAAAGACAACCCCACCACCACCTCCAAGTGAGGGGGCAGAGCTCTGACTACAGAGTTTGTATGGGTCCTAGCCCGGCTTGGTGACGTGGGCACGTGGTTTCCCGTCCCAGGGCCTCAGCTTGCCCGTCTATAGAATGGACCAGGGGCAAGGTTCTCTGAAGTCCCTCCAGTTCCGAAGTAAAATAGTTATTTTCTATGCCAATAGCATTAAAGTAATCCTTCCACATAGGAACCACTTCCAGGGCCCAGCCTGGGGCTGTTTCACTCCCCCCCACACACACTGTCCCCTGAGCCCTGCATAGTGCCTGGCAGGTGGCAGCTGTTCAGCCCATGTTGGAAGAGATGGATGAGTGAATGAAAATTCAAAGCCAGATCCCAGGTGGCCCTGCCAGCCAGTGGCCCAGCCCCAGGCCCCTCGGCCCCGGTCCCGCTCGCTCACCTGTAGCTGCCCGCCACCACCTGCTCACAGTCGATGATGACGAACTTCTCCAGGGCCTGTCCCGTGAAGCGGCGGCCCGCCTTGCTGCAGTATGTGTCCCCACATGTGCTCCGTACACGCATGTTCTGAACCAAGGGGGGATGAAGGTTGGGGGGTGATCTTGAGAGGATGGGACTCAGGCCATGTCTAAATCCCTTGGGGTCTCTCTGACCTTAAACAGCTAAAGGAACTAAGTCCCCCACTCCCATGGACCCCCCCCAATGTTCACTAATCACCCAAGTGACTCTTCTGCCCTCCCTGACTCCCCATCCCACCTCTGGTGAGTGCCCCTGTCCCTCACTGACCGGCAGGTGCCCCCCATTGAGGTCCATCTTATAGCACATCTCCAGGAAGTGGCTCAGGTGCTCCTGAGCCAGGAGCAGGTAGACAGGGACGCCACGCCGACTAGAGGCCTCCATGAGGTCGCACAGGAGCTCCATGTCTGTGAATATGTCCATCACCGCAGCCACCACCTGGAGGAGAGAGGGGAAGCTCAGCCTTGCCAGAGGCAATGCCGGGGTCCCAGGAAGAGAGCGCGGGATGGGAAAGCAGGAGGCCGGGCCCCGCAAGAAAACCTGAACTGAAAGGGCTTTTGGCCATGACCTAGCCCCGTGGCTCTTAACTTAGACACAGGGAGGTTTCGCTGTCTTAAACCGCCAGACGTTGTAGGAAAGTTTTTGTGTGCATTTTTTCCTGAGGACAGAGTGTGTATCTGTCATCAGGTTCTCAAAGATGTCTGTGACATCTCCACATATGGGGAAACTAAGGCCCAGAAGGGAGAAGGAGTCAGAAGCAGCAGCCAGACCCCAGTTCCCAGTCTGGGTCCTCACTCTCTCCCCACTAGCTCCAGCCCTAGCTCTGGCCCAGGGACTGTCTGTCTGAGGTTCCCTTCTCAAGAATCAGAGCTTTAAGCCAGGCACTGGGGCCTTCAATGTCCTTTGCCAGACCCGCCTCAGTTTCCCTATAAAGCTACAGAGGTCGGCAAAACATCTTACAACCATGGGTTCCCTCACTCCACCCACGACAAGTGGGACCAGGTCTTCTCCTCAGTTGAGGGGCTGGGGCTTGCGGCCTCCCTCATATAATGGGCTGCGTCAGAGAAGCCCTGCATAACCCCTGGCGCCACCAAACCCCCAACTGTCTCTTCCTCCCCCTCCCACTTCATAGATCTGCTAGGAGACCCTCCTCTCCCAACACAGGCCGACAGGAGGACATGCAGAGCACAGCATTCCAGCTTGAGCCACACAGACCTGGGTTCATACCTGCATTTTGCTACCTCCTAGTAATATGGCCCTGGGCGAGTAGCTTCACCTCTGGAAGCCTCGACTTCCTCGTCTGCTAAATGGAGGTAATGGTAGCTGCATCTCAGAGTTACGGGGAATTAAATGTGAAAATACTCAACGCACAACGGAAGTTCAACACATGTCCCTTTCCCGCTGCCTCCTTAACAAACGAGGACATTGGGCCTTGGGTAGCAGGGAGAGGAAGCTTCCCAAAGTTACTCAGAGTCAGTGGCAGCCCAGAGCAGAAGCTTCTGGCCCAGAGGTGAAGGGTCTAGATGGGGGGTGAGGAGGCAAAGTGCTTGGGGATGCCCAGCACATGGCACAGGCCTGACCAGGGATAAGGGGGGAAAGGACAAGCAGGAAAGATCAAAGGGACGGGGTGACCACAGCAGCTACCTCACTAATAACCTCACTCCCAGTGCCAATTAGACCTGGCCCTCCCCTGCCTGGGGCAAAGGCAGGCCTGCGAGGGAGGCTCCCAGTGAACAGTTGAGATCCCAGCATCCTGGCTCCTGCTGTCTGCAACAGTCACCCTCCGGGCTGCTCCCCGAGACAAGGGCACCGAAGCCAACCTACCGCAATCCTGCCTAGGCCCTGTGATTCATCCCCCTGCCTCCTGAATCAGGGGTCCTCTGCCGCAGGCCCAGCTGGAGGTACCGTGCACAGGGGTGAGGGGTGGATGGAGACATGCGCCAGGAGTCAGGGCTGTACCTGAGTCAGGACCTTTCCTCTTCTTCCTGAGCCCTGGGCTCTATTTTACCAACTGACTGCACCTTCCTGAGCATGTCCCAGCCCCTCTCTGGCCTCAGTTTCCTCCTCTGCAAGTCAAAGGGTGCCTCCCATTTCACCAAGGTTGGGATTCTTAGTTTGGGGATTATAAACTTTTTTGAGAATCTGATGAAAGCCATACACCCTCTCCCCAGAGAGATGCAGGAAGGATCCCTCTCTGCAACAAGCATGACTTTGCATGCATTTTCAGGATGTTTGTGGGGTCCTTGAGGGCCATCTTGTTCTATGCTTATCCATAATGACCCTGAATGCCAAGGGGTTACCAAGATAAATAAAATACAGCTCACCCTCTAGGAGCTTGTGGTCTGATAGGTGCTGCACCGAAGCTGCAGTGTTTCCCTGGGCTCATCCCTTCCCTCCCGGGGCCTCAGTTTTCACATCTGTGAAATGAGTATCTGAAGAGATGAGGTCCTTACCGTGCGGGCCTGGCTGAAGAGGAAACGCAGAAGGTCTTTGATGTTCTTGGTCTTGTCCCGCTGAAAGTGGACCACAGCCTGGGTGGGGCTGAAGCCCGTGGCCTGTGGAATCTCAGGCCAGCCCAAGTCCAGGTCCGGGGGGTCTATGTCAGAGGCCGTGGGAAAGTAAGTGCCCGAGGTGACTTCTGAGAGCAGGCTGAGGCGGTCAGGTCCTGAGGCCTCCAGTCCGTGGGCCTCACCCAGCTCAGGACCCCCACGCACATGGCTGGTCATGTAGTCCACATCCAGGGAGCTCAGGAAGGGCAGTTCCTGCTCCTCTGAGATGACCCGCAGGTAGGCAGCCTCACCCCGCTCCAGGAGGGCGTCGGCCGCCAGCCGGGCTGCCTCGCTGTGCTGCAGCACCAGTGGTGAGCTCTCCCGCCACCAGGGCCGCTTCAGTTCCTCCACCCTGCCCCGCAGGGGTCCTGCCATGCCCTGTGCTCCCGGGCCCCCAGGCCCCAGGCCTCCAAACATGCCCGCCCACCAGGCTGCTGTCACCCTCCAGTGGGCTCCATGGCCTGCACCCCGCTGGTTGCAGCAGGAAGATAGCAGCAAATGCGTCTCCTGCCTGCCTGCCTGCCTGCCTGCCTGCCTGCCCCAGTGTGGCAGGGCCCCCAGCCCGTTGCCACCTAAGTCAGGCACTATGCTCCGCCCCATTGCCCCTGGCTTCTGGAACCTGTTGGGTTAGCCTCACCTGTTGGCCTGCTGTTGGGACTTGCCCTCCCAGGAAAACGTCAGTGGTAGGCCCTTAGCACACTCGCACCCCCCACCCCCACCCAGCATGACGTGCCCCATCCACACCAGCTCCTAGTGAGTTTCCTCCAAACCCTGACCTTCCAGAGCACACTTGGAGGAGTATTATGCCCTTGCTCAGGGACACACACACACACACAAACACACACACACACACACACACGGGCAGATGAATGACTCAGGACACCAAGATAAAGACGTGAACACACACGCATGCAGGCCGACTGACGTACTGAGAGTTGACAGACACGCATAGCCTACAGGCTGACGTGCAGACCACACATTTTGATCCCATGTAAACAGATCCAAACACTAATTCAGAGACTAGCCATAACCCAAACATACCCTGATGGCTATTGCAAGCCGAGCACCCCTGCACACAGGCCCTAATAAGAGCTGAAGGGAATGTCCCAGGACTGCCAAGGACATGACCGGTCTATGGGCCTTATTTTGTTCCCATGTGGCCTTGCCACTCTCCACCTCCATAGCTGTGGCATCACAGTCACCTGTCCCACCTTCACCCCAGCTCTCAGCCCATCCTCGAGGGGCTAGAGCGGTGGCTCTCACTCTACAGTTCCCAAGACTAGCCAGGATGTGTTAAAATGCAGATCCCCAGGCTCTACCCGCCGGAGATTCTGATTCAAAAGGTCTGAGTGGGCTCCTGGAGTCTGCCTTTTTAAAAGTGACATGGTGCATCCGGGGCAGTGTGCTGAAGCCCACCCCTGAAGAATGCTGTTCCAGAGGCCACATTTCCCACACCCTCAACTCCGGGGAAGCTCTCAGCCTGGTGGGGACCAGACCACAGCCTTCCTCCCTGCCTCAGAAGCTGAGTATTAAATGGTTAGTAAGAAAGGAGGTTTCCAAGAATGGGAGGGGGGAGGGGAACACACTGCGAAGTCAGGAGGCAAACAGGGCTGGCAGGTTTCTTATCTCTGTTCCTAACATGGGCCGAAGTCCCAGCATCCTCAGGAGCATGGGTGGGAGGCTTTGCTCTGGAGAAGCAGGGTCAGCAGATGGCAGCTAGTTGGGGGGCCAGGCCCAGCAGAAGTGGTCAACAACAGAGTAGTGCCTGCTTGAGGGACCACCTTCGATGGAGGGTGAGGTCCAATGAGGGTGGCCAGGAGGCCTGATGCCATGTCTGCAGACCCTGTTTGGTGCTGATTGCAATTGGTCTATCTGATCTGGGGTCAGGCCCAGAGCTCAGGTTCTTTTATGTCCACAGGGTTTCCCACACGGGGCCCAACACATGCACAGGGGTGCGGGAACTAGGCCCCCTCAGTGTCGAGCTGGGCCCTGTGATCAAAGACGAATGAGGCTGGCTTTGTCTTTAAGGAGTTTAGAAGTGGGCAAGGGACAGGGGGTGGGGTGGGGGGGAGAAAGTAGCCTAGGCCAAGAGCTGACATGTGGGAACACTACATCCCATCTCAGGGGCAGGGACAGAAATTGGAGCAGCAGGAGCTGGAAGGAGACCTTTCCCTGGGGCTGAAGTGGCTGTGTGAGGGGCAGGAGGTTGAGTAAACAAGGTCAGGCCGTGGGAAGGTAATGAGCTGTGGGGCAGCCGAGGTGGCAAGGCCTTCATTAGGGCCTTATCCTCAGATTTATTTGAGGGGAGAGCCAGGGCCTTATCTGGGTTGAAGAAGTGCTCCTGGGAGGGAAGGAAGCCACGTTTCTATGTTGCTGAGTCCCTGTGTTAATCCCTCAGCATGCATATGGTATATATTTTTGGCTTTTCTTTTTAAAAAAAAAAAACTATTTTAATTGTGGTAAAATATACATAACAAAGTTTGCATCTTAACCATTTACAGTTCAGTGGCATTAAGCACATACGCATGGTTGTGCAACCATCACCATCATCCATTTCCAGAGCTCCCTTCATCTTGCAAAACTGAAATCTGTACCCATTAATAGCTCCCTATTTCTTCCTCTCTCCAGACCTTGGCAGCCACCTCTCTACTTTCTGTCTCTATGAATTTGGCTACTCTAGGGTACCTCATGGAAGTGGAATCATACAGTATTTGTCCTTTTGTGACTGGCTTATTTCACTTTGCATAATGTCCTCAAGGTTCATCCATGTTGTAGCCTGGTCAGAATTCCCTTCCTTTTTAAGGCTGAATAATATTCCACTGTGTGCATATACCACATTGTTTATCCATTCACACAATGATGGACACTTGGGTTATTTCTACCCTTTGACTTTTGTAAATAATGCTGCTTGAATATAGGTATACCGATTTGACTCTGTATTTTTATGTATTTCCCTCTATATCCACATTTGTATTATATTTCATTTTTGTAAGTAAAAAACCCCCACACTTAATATTGACAATTTTATATGGTTCTACTCAACATATATACATGTAACTATGCAGAACTATACCTGTGCATGTATGTACTGTGATGTTTGTGTGTCTACTTGGCGGTCTTTAAGCATCTAGCTGCATGTCAGTGTATATTTACCTATGTGTGCATCTGTGTATACATACTCAGGTGTGCCTGTCTGGGCAGAGATCTATTTGTGTACATGAGTGTCTGGACAGTGATGGCTTGGACCCTAACTCTGGTACAAGGTAGCTCAACTGAGAAGGGCAGGGGTGGGAAGACTGAACCAAAGGGATCCCTGGCATCCTGATAATGAAAGCATGTAAATCAAACCCCCAGGGCTGCCGGAATGGAGGCCCCTCCCTATGGACTGAATGGGTAAAGGGCAACAGGAGGGTAGATAGATGGATCCTGGCCATGGGCCTGCAGCTAGGGGTGGGGACCCAGGGTGATGGGAACCATACAGATAGCTGAGCCCCGACCAGTGTGTTGGGCAAAGGTCCCTTAATAACTGTTATTAAGAGGAAAAAAAATATTTTCCTGTCCAGGGGTTGTGTCAGGCGCCTGCTTGGCATCATTCTGACATCCTGGGGGACACTTAGCCTCATCTCTAACCAGCCGAGTGGCGCCTGGGCAGGTGACTGTCCTGTGGGGGTGGTGCGAGCAGAGGCTGGGCTGCAGCCCTCCAGGTGCAGGCTGCTCTGATGCCAATATTGCCACACACCTTTAATGTGGCACCTCCAGGAGAGGGGAGATAAGGCTCCCGGGGAGAAGCAGCCAGGGTGAGTAGGGGAGCCAGTGTGCCCAACTCCCTTGAATCAAGGCAAAGCAACCTAAGATCTAGAGATACAGGGCCACGTGGTAAGGATTCCCAGAGGTTGGCTAAAGGTGGGTATTAGAAGATGAAAATGATTTCAAGATGTACAGAATGGCAATCAGAGTGTTCCAGGCTGGAGGTAGAGGGACAAGGGCATGCCTAATGAAGAAAGGTGGGGGCGGTGGTATAGGGAAAGGGCTGTCAGAAAGGCCATCTGGGCCACACTCTGAAGAGGATCTTGTTAAAGTGCGGCCTCTCTGTGCAAAGATGATGACACAGAGGTTGGCAAGACTCCTAGAGTGGAAGCAGTCCCCCAGGGGAGAGTAGCCCAAAGCACCAGACTCCCAGAAACAGCCCAGGTGGGTGTGGCTCACTGACCCTGAGTGCCCCAGAGGCCTCTGGGAGGTCACCCTGGCTCTGCACCGAATGAGTTGAACAATCACAACTCTGAGTCACAGTGGCTGACTCTGCAAGATGGGACCAACGCTACCTCCTTCACCAGGTTGTTGTGAGGAATAAGCAGGCTGCTCTGTGTCAAGTGACTGACTGAGGGGAGCAGTAGCCCAGCACCTGCTGATTCCAGAGCTTTTCAGGCCATGAAAGAGCAGGAAGGGGCTTGGTGAAGGCCCGAAGACAAACGAAGCAGTGACTGGGGCGCCTCCTGGTCAGTCTCTGGCCCCTTCTGGTCCAAAGGCTGGCCCTGAAGGTGAACATGGCTCCTGGCTGTCCGTGGAGTGTGGCTCTGAGATGCTCTCAGCCCAGTTCAGGAGGCAGGGTCCTCTCCCCACTTTGCATACACAGACCAGTATTCACACCTTTCTTGGGCACTTGGGACCCCAAGGAATGAGATTTTTGGCATTCTACGTCAGAAAGGCGGCTGTGTCTGTGTCTAGGCTGTAGACACTGTGACTCCCTCACATTCTTCCCTCCATCCCTCTCCATCATCTCATTCAATGGTGGGTGATCCAGTCCCCACTCCCTCCCCGTCTCCATCCACTCCACCCTGCAGGCATTTATTTACTTATTTGTATTGATTTGAGAGCGGGAGAGAGGAAGGTTAAATGTAATTTAATTGAAAGAGAGGAAGGGAGAGGAGAGAGAGAAATTGATTTGTTGTTCTACCCATGTATGTACCCACTAGCTGTTTCTTGTGTGTGCCCTGACCAGAGATCAAATCTGCAACCTGGGTGCATTGGGATGATGCTCTAACCAACTGAGCGACCCAGCCAGGGAATACTCTGCATGTATTTAATGCCTACTTTAGGCCAGCACTATGGTTCCAAAGATGAGTAAGACTTGGTCTCTGCCCTGAAGGAATTCAGTTTAGTGGGGAAGGCAGACTCATAATTATAAGTCACAGATTAAGCTGAGGTATAAACCAAATGCTTGGGGTTCAGAGCTCATGACCCATTCTGGAATCATGTCCCCACTCCACACTCCCAGCTAGGTAACAGCCCTGTGGCGGGCTTTCTCAGATGGTCACTAGTTGAAGGAGCTGTTTCTGGCCACAGGGAGAAAGCAAGAGGAAAGGGGCAACCCAGCACAGGCCATGGGTTCTGGTTGCTGACTGAAATCTCGAGTGAGCTCTAGGGCCTCAGCTCCTGCCTGTAAAGCAAGCGGCTGGGATAGAGGCCTCCAAATGCCCCACAGAGCCCACATGGTATTCTATCACTTTTTAAACACACACACACACACACACACACACACACACACACACGTTTATTGACGTCAGAGAGGAAGGAAGAGGGAGAAAGAGTTAGAAACATCAATGATGAGAATCATTGATTGGCTGCCTCCTGTGTGCCCCATACTA